AAAAAAAAGACCTCCTGTTTGGACAATGCAGATAACATGTTTGCATTAAATACTGCTCAGAAGTAACAGATCTAAGAATGTGTTAGATTAAAGAAAAGTGTAAACCATAGCATAATATATCCACGTAACCTTACAAGGGTACTAAAAACAAATGGAAATTCATTCCCTTTGCTAATTTATATTATTAGAATTAATTACTCAGGTTTTAATTCCCTCTTTAATAGTTTTTTGTTGAACTCTGAAATCAACCACGTAGTTTATGAAAGCTGAAGGGTCCTTTATAAGACGCTGCTGCTCTCTCCTGGGTAATTATCAGGTGAGACATTTTAACATTACTGCTCAGTTTTATAGATCTGACATGCCTCACTCATCTTCTGATTTATAATCAAGGCAAGACGTTCCTTTTCTTTCTCAATCTCTCTGCCTCGATATGCACCCGCCACTGCACGCACACACATACATAGAACGCACACTTACTCATGCTGCCCCATTTTCTACCATTAAACCTCAGCGGTGGATAACAATAGACTGTCCTTTGCAAAGACAAAAGAGTGCATTCTTAAAAATGTATGAGAACCCTTTCGCTTTTTAAAACATATTAGCTGCTCTTATTCAGGTGGATTGCTTTATAGTAATGGATTTTAGAGATGAATTACCAGAGTGTTACGCAAAAAATAGGGAAAAAAAAACATGTTGCATGGACAGTAGTTGTTTTATTATGAATATTTCATCCCAGGGAAAACAAAAGAAGAGAAGAAGCAAAGATTTGTACAACAAAAAACTAATGCCCTCTATTCTGTGGATCTCCACTTTGTCTCCAGCACTTTAAATATTCATCAATACCACAGCTGACATTGTTCATTTGTGTGCCTTTAGAGAGCCATGCATTCTTCACTTCAAAACAACGGACCCAGTGACCCATCATGCATAGGGAATAATGCTTTTAGACATTTAGACTCGACCAATATCACTATTTAGCAGTATAGTGTCAAGCTATCTCTAGCTGCAGGGACAAAAAGGGCATCATGAATAGTGCATTGTTGGCTGATTCTATAGAGCTTCCTACAGCTTGTGTTAGTTTTCAAAACTTAAAGATGGAAAGGCCTCTGCCTAAAAAAGGCAGTAACACAGATCACAAGACTTTGAAGAGCCACATTGGTCATGGACTTTAAAATGCTACCACAGTAAAACCATAAAGTCTAAAAACCAACGACTGTAGAAAATAAACTGAAACATGCCTTCCTTTTTCCCCTCAAATCACCTTGTGCACTGTGTGCAATGTGCACTGAAGTGAATTAACATCATCGCTATTCAAAGAAGGAGATAACGCCATAATTAATTTTCATATCTACAGCTGTCTGCACTGAGTTGATCTTAAATAGACTCTTTATATCTGTGATTTCTTATTCCTAGCTGTTGATGAGCTCTATTCTATTGAAAGATAACTCAGAGATTAGGACAATTACAAGTCAAACTATTTTTTTCATGCTTTTTGTCCCACATGAATACCGTATGAATGTTTTTTTTTCATCTTTGTAATGCACTTTTAGAAACTGTGACTGATGTGTTGATACGTATTGTGTCGTTGAACTGAATACCAGCGGTGTTTGTTAATGAACATGCGATATCTTGTAATACCAACTGCACGGGCCACGGTGAAAGCAAAACGTGCTTGACCAGCAAGTTGACAACAATGATACCCTCTCCCCACAAAAAACAAAAAAAATAAATGTTTTGCCCAGAGGAAAAATTACACCTACTGATCTTTTAAACTTTTGATGGGAGTTTGGCTGTAATATTTATCAAAGAGACTCACACTAAACTATTTTGACACGATCATGTTCGCTTCAAGGCTGCATGCAATGCAGAGTTAAAGGGAAAATGTCGACTGACCCAAAACTAAACTGAAAATTTAATGGAACCCAAGCTCATAGAAAATATTACTCAAGTGGTGTTGTTATCAACCTGATGAAGTAAAAGACTTGAGGGTGTAAATGTGAGCCAGGCCTGTTTCTCTTAATGACTGAGTCAAGTCCAGTTTGAGGCTCTGTAGTGTGGAAAACAAGCATTGTAAATATTCATGAGAAAGAGCTTTTTAAGATCAAATAGTTTGGCATGGAACGAAAATGTTTTTTACCAGAATAGTGGCAAAGACAGCCTTTTCTGTATGTAGTGAATGCAGACTCACTCCCATGAAAAATTAACCATCAGCCCTGTGGAAATGACCACGAGTAAGGCACCAGATTCCCATTACATCTCAACTGACCTAATTGTGAATGAGAATGAAAAAAGACAAGCTATTTATTCCTGCTGGAACGCCATTGACGATCACAAAATTATTAATGAAAAATAGCCTTTTAAGATCAAATAGCATGGAGTGATGAATGGCGCTGTCACTGCCATGCGGTCTGCTCTCAGATCTCTTTTGTGTTTCATAGTTTGCATTCAGAGCAACTCAGTAAGACCAAAGATGCATTTCACAGAGAGGACATCATGCCTTCTGTTCTCAGACATCGAACCAACACTTTATGCCTTTGTTGTTCATTGAGCATGAGAGATTGATACGGTTTCAACTGTGCCCAAAATTCATTTATGTTCCCAAGAAAACCGTTAGCTCAGCATGGCCAAAGTACGTGTGCCCCATTACCAGATTGGAATGTATATGCAATCCTCAGCACATTTCCTGGAAATGACCATTCAGAATGAGTAATGAAGGCTACGCCAACATTACATTACACCTAACTCATATACATGAAGCTAGAAGGAAAATCGCTATGGTTTAATTTGCTCGTTTGTGCTGAAAATGGATGTCTTTAAACTAACGTTTTCTTTCAGATATTCCATTGACTGGAAGACCGACTTGGACAGCTACTTTGACATTGATCCAGTGGAGGGAACGATTTCCACGAACGAACTTCTCGACAGAGAAAACATCGCCCAACACAATATCTCCATCGTAGCAACAAAACTCAGTAAGTATGACAATGAGATCAGTTATGATTCACGCAGGTGTCATTGTCCTTCCCCCACCTTAATCTGCGTGAAGGATTTAATGCGCTTTTACTCAAGTCAATACTCAATCCCATTTTGCTGGAAAGGTTTATAGGTATCTATAAACTATGATAGCTCTCCCAGAGGAATGTGTCTTCAGGACATTGTCTCCTCTAGCATACTTGCCTTAACTCTGTTTTCATTTTTAACTGCCTCTTTTAGCACGTTTGATGACACTGGCATTGGAAGAGAGCTTGTCTTGCCAGAGTCAACTTTTACTTACGCCGCAATAAAACGTGAACCTTCCACAGTTTAACAGTCCGCCGACGCAGCGGCATCGCAGCATGTTGCGAGCCAAGCTCGGAAAAGGACGGAACTAATGTGGAGCTGTGGCTTTAAGACATGTCATCAAGCTAATTATGTTTTTATGAAGGAAGTGGAGCAAATTTCTGGATAAATAAGCAAATCCATCGTCATCAAGTCATCAAATCTGCTAAGAACCGTCAAAGTCATTATCCCAGAGGCAGGCTGGTGCTCAATCAAAATTACACATGCTGTATATTCATTAGGACAAACTGTGAAATATGGGCTGTTAAAACTTGAGTCATTGTCGCCTTGGAAACTGATATTAGTCACTTCCCCTCAAGGTCATGGAAGTGACATGCTAATTTTGTTTTCAATGTGTGTGCGCCGTTCTTTGTGTGGCTTTTGTGCATAAGTGCCAAGAAATTGCAGGATGAGGTAGACTGAGAGGAAACAGCACAGATGAAGAGGAAGAGAAGCGAGATGGAAGTTTTAATAGGCAGTTGCATGTTCAGTGTGTGTCATACTAGATGCAGGAAGCAGGGAGTAGTTCTGCTCATTTTATCCTCACCCACCTGCGCCTCACTCCTTTCTTATCACCTCGCTACAAGTCGGGCTCTGATCCAGACCTCTGCCCACCCCTCTCAGAGGACCAATGTTCATCCACAGACAATGTTACTCACTGACAATAACAAAAAAAAGAAATAAACAAGACTTCCAGAGCCAGTGTTTAAAAATAATAGTTGGACTGGTGCAGCAAGAACAGAGATAAAACCAGCACCCCAGAGTTTGTGTCCCAGCTCGAGTTCAAATCTGTGTTTGACCTTGAGTTAGATTTGGCAGTACTTTGTGTTCTGGGTATTGGATGGCTGTTATGGCTCCACTGTTCTGGATACTATTGTCATCGCTGGCCTGTTTGCTGTCTGTTATTCAGGTCTTAAACCATGGATAACAACAATAAATACTAAAGCAAAGATGCCTTCAGTGCCCATACAAAAAAATCCAGTTGTTGAGGAGAGGTCACGCACACACATAGAAAAAAATAATTGTTCTAACTTATCTACAGTCTGTAGCAGCCCTATTTAGCATTGCACAGCAGTTTTCAATAAACAGTAAATTATTGCAGACCTCTGTATTTGACCTGCCTCGGTATCTACCGCGTGTTCTTGCCTCTAATGCTTTTTAACATTTATCAGCCCACACCTTTTATTCCCGTTACAATCACTTGGCGGTAAGCATCCAGCAGTATCGACAGAGTTGCTAGATGGCATTTGTGCTTTCGTTCGTCGGCGATAAACACCTGGTCACAACACCTGAGCTGGAGACTCTTTAGTTCGGAGACCTTGGCGATCCGTCTGGTCGTCTGTAGACACTGCAGTCATGCAGCAAAATGAGAGCAGTGCGTGCTGTTCCCCTGAGACACTGAGCTGAACAGAAGGCGTGCTAAATAAGAGCCAGGGCTAGATTAACTGGTTGTGTTTTGGCATTTAAACTCATTGGTAATTTTAAGGCAAGGGAGAGATATATTCAATGCTGTAATAACCATGGCATGGGGCAATTAGGAAGCACACTTACTATCTTTCTTCTTATTTATTTATTTATTTTTTAAAAATGACAGTCAACACAGTTTTGTTACTTGTGTTATCTGCAGTTACACTTTAAGCAGACAGATACTCAGAATGATTTCTTTTTATTAGTGTTCTGCAGTGCATTTTATAGATCTGTGGTTGATTGCTTGCAATAATAAAGTATTTTTTTTTAATTAAAATGAGAAATCAAAACACAAAATGTGCATTAGAGAAACAGTATAAACTGGTAACTTCAGGGCAAATCACTCAAGCATTGTACAACTATACAGAAATCAGTAAATAAATGGAGCATATGTTTGGGCAAAATTGCTGCTGCAAGTCAGATTCAAATATAACCACTGTACCATTGCTCCATCTAGTGGGCTGAATGATATATCACTCATAATAACAACAGTTATGGAGATGAGTTTTTAAAATTAGATGAGAGGGAAAATTGTAAACTTAACTAGCTCGAACCACTGAGACTATATAGAAATATAGAATTTATTGATATGGAAATATTTTAAGTTGTCCCCACTTTTATAAACAGAGTTCTCGATCACAAGCGAGCGATGGTGCCTTTTTGCCAACTGAGCATCAGTGTTAGTTCAGTCAGTGCAAAGCAGCAAATCCCATGATCAGTGTCATTTTTACCTCGGTGGGAAGATTGCTTTTTCCATCAAGGTCAGAGACAGGTTGCTAACTGAGCCGTGGCTGCTTCTCCAATCCCCCCGCCCTTGCACTTTTTTTTCTCAACCACCCAGCAACATACAAACCTACCAACCTATGCACTGGCACTCACACAAACGAGAACACGCTAAGCCTCCCAATGTGCACCAAAGCCTATTCCCACAACAAATCCATAAAGTTTACCTTAACTGGGCTCTCACACAAAGAGAACATTTCCCCATTGTATCCCCTCTGTGAGGAAACAAACAACAACAACTGTGGATTCAAGCTATTCCCACTCGAAGGGGCTTTCACACTCTAATTAGAATGGGATGCACATCTTATGGTTCAAACCTATAACAAAACCTTTAAAAAAGGCTTGTAATAAAAAATGTCCTCTCGAAAGGGCCGTATACAATAATATGAGGTGTGCTTTAGGATCAACACATTGGACGAATTTAGTGCATGTATTTATTTTATTTTCCTTCTCAGCGTCCTTCAAAAGCATCATAAAACAGCATTTATGCATCACTGTGTTCCACACGCATAAGACGTTTTCCAGAATTTAAACACTTGCAGTGGCTAAGCAGCTATAACATCTGTTCAAGGAGACTCAAGCATGAAAGCCTCTACTTGACCGTGCTACTGCAACAGTGATAAACCTTCAAGCTCTGGCTTGTAATAAGATGGTAGTAC